GCTGGAAGGGACTCCAAGCGTCATGTAGTCTAATCCCCTGCAATGCAAAAATCTCAACTAAAGCATCCATGGCAGATGGCCATTCAACCTCTGCTTACAAACCTCCAAGGAAGGAGAGTCCACAACCTCCAAAAGAGAAACCATTCCACTGTCAAACAGCTCTTAGTGTCAGAAAGTTATTCCTGATGTTTAGTCGGTATCTCACTTCTTGAAGCTCACGGGGTAAAATGGCCCCAAACTCCAGAGGAGTTTATAAAGGTTTCTACATATTCCTCATCCCATGGTGACCCATAGGAGTTTTCTACCATAGGCCCACATGGAGATCATGACATCAACAGAATGCTGCCCCCATTTGCCCCTCACTGACCCACACATCACTGGGCAATGGGGTTCCAGGGCCTAATTTGGCTCAGAACAAGGCTTAAACAGAAAATTCTGCAGCTTGAAATAGCTCCACTGTCTAATTCAAGTTATGCTCTTCAGAGAAATTACATAGTAATTTTGTTTGTTTGTTTTCTGTCTTTAAATCTCTGCCCCATAACAAAAGTTCTCTGAGACAAACAAACCCACAAACCACAAAAACACATTAAACTGCAAGGCAGAACAATAAAAGTCTATAACAAATTAATTATAAAACTGAAACACAATTAAAACACAAATTAAAACTCGATTAAGGGCCCAGCCTACCGAACATAAAACATTATTTATGGGTGAGGTTTTGGGACCGTGGCTTTTATGTTTTTACTATGATGGTTGGTTTGTGCCTAGAGATGGGGGTGGTGGTGATTAGATTCATTTCACATTTATGAACCTGCCCAATTCAGACTTTCCTAAACAGAGACATCCTTTGGAATTTGCACTTTTTCAGCTTTTTGTAATATAATTTGCCAGTGCAATGTGGAAATAAATAAATAAATAAATCTTATACCCCACCTAAGGGTCAGGTTTAAGGTGCTGGTTTTAACCTTCAAAGCCCTATACGGCATAGGACCCTCGTACCTAGGGGACCGCCTCTCCTGGTATGCCCCACAGAGGAACTTACGGTCCTCAAATAAAAACATCTTGAAGGTCCCAGGCCACAGAGAGGTTAGGCTGGCCTCAACTAGAGCCAGAGCTTTTTCGGCTGCGGCTCCAACCTGGTGGAACGCTCTGTCGCAAGAGACAAGGGCCCTGCAGGACTTGACATCTTTTCGCAGGGCCTGTAAGACAGAGCTGTTCCACCAGGCCTTTGGTCAGGGCGCAGCCTGACTCCCTCCTTTGGCAATCTCTACAAAGCTTTAGTCTATGGTTGCCATCAATTTGTATTTTAATTAATTTTTAGAATGTATTTATAATGTTGTACTGTTTTAGTGTTGTTAGCCGCCCTGAGCCCGGCTTCGGCTGGGGAGGGCGGGATATAAATAAAATTTATTATTATTATTATTTATTATTATTTGACTACGTTGCCCTGGCCACACTGGGTGGCTTCCAACAAAAAATAGGAACAGCAACAACAAACACAAAAGTTTCCCAAAACACAGCTGCCTTCAGATGTCTACGAAAATTGAATAGTTGTTTTAACTCTTTGACATGTTATGTACTAAGATTAAGTTGCACTTCTCACTCAGGGCCACCAGTATGTAAATGAAGGATTGAAAACTGTCATTCCTGATTGGTTAGCTAGTTGTGAGTTGTTACTGTTTCAGGTTACTTAGTATTATATAAAGCAGTCAGCTAGGCTGCAGTCAGTCTGATTCCAGGAGCAGTTCTAACTGCCGCAATAAAGAGCTGTGATCCAAAAGAGCTGTGTCCTTCGTCCATCTTTTCCACTATTCAACATGACATATGTTGGGTGGGGATTCCACAGGGCATTTTTATGCACATTTAACTCTAGTAAATGCATTTGGGGCTGCAGTGTGCTCTGTATGGGGCTACGACTGAAGTAGACTTGGAAACTACAATTGATCCAGAATGTAACTGATAGACTGCAGACTGGAAGCAGACACCAGGAGCACATAACACTAGTCCTAAAAGATCTACATTGGCTTCCAGTACATTTCTGAGCACAGTTCAAAGTGTTGGTGTTAACCTTTAAAGCCCTTTTAGGCTTCAGCCCTGTAAACCTGAGAGTGGCTCTACCCTGATTGTTCAGCCCAGACACTGTCTGGAAAATAAGAGGTAGAATCAGGCTGGTGGTTGGATTGAGGGCCATCCAATTGGTGTGTATGTGTGTGATGTGTGACTGGACCACTGAAGGTCCCCCAATTTATTTCCAGTGCAAACAACTTTTTTCCTTCCCATCCCTAATTTTAAATGATTTATTGGCCATGTGCTTTTTTTGTACTGGATTATACTACTGATTATATTTTACTGCTACCCATCTGGACATTTTATGATGTAGAGACAGCATAGGAATGTTTTTTTAACAATTAAATGAAAGACCACTCGTTGAGCCAAATCTGGTTCCAAGGTTTGCTGCTGCCAATTCAGTTGCAAAAGAATGGGGCTGAAGAATCTTTATTTGCATCAGCAACTAGCCATAGCAATAAAATAAAATGTACTGAAGATAGAGATAAAAACTTAACTATACAAAGTACATTTTGGAGGTTTGCATCACTAATCAAATAATAGATCATATTCTAATTGCCCCCGCTAAAAACCTTACAGTTTTTGCTGACACCTTATCAAAATAATAGGGTTCTTTAGTAGGGCATCTAGAATGATGATGCAGTTTTATTAACTGATATTTAACTGAATGTTTTATTGGTGGCCTATGTTTTTACTGATTTACTCACTGTATTTTTGGTTTTAAATGTATCTTGTTGTATTTTGTGTAAACTGCTTAGAGATTTTGCATATTAAATAATATATAAATATTATGGGTTGGAGTGAAGATGATGGAAAGGTTGCAGTTCAGGGCTGGGCCTCCTACTTCACAAGCTGATCCTCCAACTAAACTAGTTGTGATCATAAAAGATTACAGGTCAGAAAATGCTGCAAGGGATTTTAGAAACAAGAACCTGACTGAAATAGAGGGGGCCAGGAAAGGGTGAAGGACAAGGTCACGACTAGGCCAGAGAATAAAAGGTGAGGTTTTTAAGTGAAAGGAAGCTGTAAATGAGGCAAGCAGCAGAAGGCTCCAAAACTGTACTGTTTACTCACTGACTCTTGCTGAAGAATGAAAGGATGCCAACAATCATCCTGACAGCTGACACTGGCAAGTTGGCAGGCGCTACTGAAATGTGCTCATTTTGCTTTTATATTAGATCATAATCACTTTCATTGGCAAAATAAGCTCCTGTCATCGGCTCATTGTAGTGGGCTGCTACCTTGCATCTTGTATGTAAACTGTGAGGTTTCTGAGAGGCCTATCTTTGTTTATTTAAAGTTGGATGGGTTTTTCAGTAGCAAGTTCAACAGGACTCCCTCCTTCCTGCCCCTTCACCCATCCCAACAGAAGATAATCTACCGGACTGCGGTAGCCATTCAAGTCACACATGCATTGAAAGAGGAAGGGGAGGAACTTAGAACAGGAACAATAAGGAGAGTTGAAGGTAAAGAAACTTGAATATCCATTTATGTAAGGACATGTTTACACATAGGCTTGAGTCAAGTTCTTTACAAAGGTGATTCCCTATTTGTGCTATCCAGGAATTAGGGAAAATAAGTCACATATCATATAGTATAATTTTATAAGAGGTAGTCAATGTGGTCTCCTCCAAATATTGATGGCCTCCAACCCACATTAGCCACAGTCAGCAAGGTAATAGTCAGGTGTGATAGGAGTAATAGTCAAAAATAATGTGGAGGGCACTATTCTGGCTACCCCTGTCATGCTGCATATTACACATATGCCTTCTATGAGAAACACATTCTCTATGCACTGATTCTGCTACCATGGGGGCATAATGCAATGGGAATTTCTCTGTGGGTTTCCTCTAGCCTGTTGAACTTTCATTACTACAGATGATTCATGAAAGGAAGGCAAGAGGTTTGACTTATGAATCCCAGGCTGACTTTGCAAGTCTTTCCCCCCTATTAACTGAGAGACTTTACCTTAAAAGCACTGAAATATTATGAACAGCATGGAACTGTCTTTGCCAAGTTTAACCAAACTTCAAAGCTTTCATTTCCCTTGGCCTCTATTTCTCTCCTTCTCTGACTGGGTTGCAATGCTTCATTTGCCTCACAAACCAACTGCATTAGTTTTGTTATTCCATAAAAGCTTCTTTCCACTCACTGGACATAGATAGGAAGTGGCTTTAAAATAATTCCAGTAATGTGATGCCGCCTGCGGCCTCCTGATAACTGCTATATGCAGTCCACAAAATCATCCGACATCTTTGAAATGCTAATACTCTACCTGTACTTTGTTTAACCCATTCTTATTTCTGAGCTGTTATCTCTGCTATCAAACCGTTCATTTGGGTCTATTGGTCTGGCATCAACTGTTTCTAAAGGCCTCTTTGCACACTATGACACATACATAGTGTGGCGTAGAAATAGTCTCCACATGATTGTTTCTCTATGCTGTGGGTATAAATTGTAGCAAACCTTGCCAGCTCTGTTTCCTGCATGATACTGAGATTCTGAATATAAGCAATGGTGATTTCTGGTAGTCATGATCACAGAAATCCAACATGCAACATGTGTGGTTTGCATGGCCACCCATGCAATATATTATATCCCTAGGGCAGAGGAGCTATCACACAAAGATTATTTCATTCTTTTTCCAGACGGCTATACTGAGTAATTGTAGATAAGTCATAATACCAAGTGAATGAGGTAATTAGTATCACATCTCCATCCACCAGAATAGATTCTTACAGATGTGTAAGAAGATGAGTCCAGTGTTGAAAGACTAAGAGTCCAGTGTTGAAAGACTAAGACCCAGACATTAGTAGTGAACAAAAGAATGGCCTGAGCACTGCAAAAATGCATGTGACACATTTAAAGATTGAGAAATGAACTGGACACTCCAGAAATTATTGCTTTTTTGTTGTTGTTTAGTTTGCACTTACCAACCTCCACAACACTAGAACAGTTGGGATCTGTGAAGCCATCAGGACACTCGCAAGAGTAGAAATTGTCATCCAATCCAGACAAGCAGATGCCTCCATTTTCACAGGGGTTGGAGTCGCATATATCCCCTGTGAATCAAAGAAAGGATTTCTCACAATCTTTTGAATATATCGTTTTCAAAATCATGAAATCATGCTGCTGAAAATATAGCTTATTGATAGTTAAGAGCAGATACAGTATTTCCTAGCTACAAATTATCTAATGAACTATTAAGTGTTCTGCAGTAGTCTCTTGATCAGTTTTTGTTAGGACTTTTACGGGAACAACCTTCATAAAAAGGGATGCTCCCTTCAATTATCATGGCATAAAGAGTTGTATTCTTGTGGAAACAATTTTAAAGGAGTGAAAGCAAATGGATGTGTTTTCATCTCTGCAACATTGACCAATAACCAGTTATTGGAAACTAGTGCTAAAACTTAGAATCCTCTCAAGCCTTGTCCGTTCTGGTGACCTCAGATTATGCAGGACATTAGTTCTTATCAGCTCTAGCCAGTGTGGCCAATAACCAGGAGTAACTGCAGTTGTAGAGAAAAACACATGGAGGCACCTGGTTTAGGATAAGAACAGGTAGAAGATTGTTCTTCAATCACAAGAGACAACATGATCCAAGGTATAGATTCCCAAAGCAATAGAAATATGGATTCCCAAAGAAAGTTTGTGCAACAACAAAGCATCATAACAGCATTTTATGCAGACCTAAAGCAAAAAAACAAAAAAAAAAACAACCAATTTATGATGAACTTATTTGTTGGGAGGTTGCCAAACTGGTCTGAACCATCCAGCCTAATGGAACACACACACCTTTCACTGAAAGGACTCCAAGTTGAATCCAGCTTCTGATTTTAAATTTCTCAGGTGAAAAAGCTAGAAAGGCAGCTGATGAAATCTTAGAGCAGCCTTTCCTGGTGCTCCCTAGCTATGTTATGGTTTACAGCCCCCATCACCTTCAGCCAGCACAGCAGATTAATAGCCTTGCAGAACCAGTGGCCTGGCATGCCACCAAGCAGCCCCCTACAATGCTGAATATTCTCCAGTTTGTGTCATATGGAAGTGCTGGAATGGAAAAAAAATATGTCTACTCAGTGATCAATACCTCAAAAATTGGAACACTTAGATGATTCCCTTCTCTGTGGAAGTTCTACCCAAACTGAACACTTGCTATAGGGCATAGAAAATGCAGTCACTTTCCTGTTAATTCTTTTACAACTATAGAGCTTTCTTCTTCTGAAAGCCCCCTCCCCAAATCAAGCCAAAGGTTTTAGTGTGTGAAAAATTCTTCTACTTGTAATAAAGCAGAGCCTGATGACTGATATTTAAATAAGTATTTTTATTTTTTTGAGTGGGGGGTGAGAAACACAAATTGATGCACCTGTCATCCTCACTGGCGGGATTTTTAAATAAATTAATTTTGCTTTGCAAAGAAAACTTTGTGTCCTGAATATGACATACAATTTTGGCAGGATCTCGGCAAAAGCATTTCAAATTGGACAGCTGTCATGGAGAGCTTCATATTACCAGGAAAGCATCTATCTGAATAGCATCACTTTGACTTCACGGGAGTTTGATTAAGCACTTTGATGTCAGATGTCACTCTGATTTTAAATTGCATGTCAAGTTGCAAATTTCAAATCTGCTTCTCTATCCTACTTTCATAGTCTTGTTTTATAATATCAAAAATGTTTGAGACTAGCTCATGCATTTTACCAGCTGAATTCCCTTTCTTTGTGCATGCATATGTCTAATTTGCTATTTTAAAAATTCACTTCCTCTTATTAGGAATAGAGTTTCTTACCTACTTAAGTGCTGAGAGGTCCAGAATTATGTAATTTCCTCTGGATGAGAAAGCACCAGAGGCTTATGATGTAATATGTTTTATTTACAAACATACACAAGCAAAGCACAGTAAAAGCAAAATTACTCCCACAGGAAGCAGCAAAATGGTTGATTCCAAAAGCACTAGTGTGGATTCCTACAGCCTCCAAGGCAGGCTGCTTCCTATCTGGCTATACTTATAGCTATCAACCTCTCTCTTTCTCTGTCCAGATTCAAATCCCCAATTGCTTTATTTTCTCCAAAGATAAAAACTGCAGCTCATTGTCCTAAAATTTCATCCCTGAATTCACTCTCATTGTGGAAATATCAGCTAAACTAGTGCTCTGCCAAAAAAACACAACCCACCATTTTCCATCAATTAATGAGAAACTGCATCCAAATCCTACCCACCAAATCTTAAGTACCTTGAGAAGGAGGTAGAAAAATGGATGCCTCTTTCACACTGAAAGAAAACTTAAACTGGAGGGCAGGTTTCAGCATAGCACTAAGACAAACAAAACTGACTATTAGCAAGCAGTCAGCTTAACAAAGGATAGTTACTCAGCAAACAGCAGTAACATCACAGTCAGGAGGCTGGCTCTGTTGCATTATCCCCTGTTTACGGAAGTTGTTAATGTTTTATTGTGCTTTTAATTCTGTTGGGAGCCACCCAGAGTGGCTGGGGAGGCCCAGCCAGATGGGTGGGGTATAAATCTTCTTCTTCTTCTTCTCCTTCTTCTTCTTCTTCTTCTTCTTCTTCTTCTTCTTCTTCTTCTTCTTCTTCTGTATACAATTACTGACTGACACTTGCATGCATGAAAGGGTTATCCTGAGTCCTGAGCTCAAATTACCAGAGTGGGTGTGGCCTAGCATGCTCTCAGCAGCCTCTGCTCCCCACCCGCTCAGTCTTTTTTTTGCTCTTCGTACTTCCTGGAGCAAGTGAAGAAGGAGCCATGTGGCTTGGCTCCCAACTCAGCCAATGCTGCAAGTGAACTGAATCTCTTTAAAAGATTTCATAATCTACTTCTTTGCTAACCCAAAGATTGCATGATCCTTTCGTAAATGAGTGATGAATTCCATTTCCCCCCTAAAATTAACAATAAGAAGCAGATTAAGATGAAATTCTAACCCCGTTTACCTGGAGTAAGCATTGTTGAAGTCAATGTGATTTACTTCTGAGTAGCCATAGTTAGGATTGTAGTTTTAGTGCATTATGGGCTGCCTTTGGCAACAAACAGCAAAGCAAAGAGGCACCTATATATACACACACATCAATGACTTTCTAACACCTTAACAGGCCCTCTATTATCCAGAAACAAATACCTTGTGATATTCACTTCCCTGTGTGTTCTTTTTCAAAGTAAATCAAGCAGCTAACAACCCATCAGTTAGCCATCTCCCTGGAGGGTTCCAAACCTCTAGCGAGCTTCTTGATAACAGTGTTATGAAATATAAAAGTGAAATGTAAAAAAAATGACATTAATTACTTATAATCTGCGGACTTAAAAAAGAAAAACCTTCTGTGAACAAATGTGGATTGCATTTGCTTCAAGGAATTCCGTTCCTGAACACTGAGCAATTACACAAAATTTCCATATCTGAGCTTACAGCAGAATTCTCTGACATCTCTACTCTTGCGCCACGGATCCCGGAGTCAGGAGGTTTGCAGCCTATGCTCTCAGAGTACATACCCTCATTACATCCAGCACTGAACCCCTCCACAACAGGGACCTGCATCTCCTGCACCTGGAGGGAATTGTCAGAAAGGAGGAGATATGCTAGGTTCCAAGCCTGAGGTCTGCCCATAGAAAGCCTTCTACTTCTCAAGGAAGGTTCAGAGTTTGGGAGTACATAGGAGGCATAAAAGTAGGGCCAAGTTGCTCACCATTGTGCCCTTGGAGCTTTTTGACAACATTGGGGAAATATAGTCATGCAAGCTATACCTGCTGTAGTTCTGTCTTTTATACATCTATATTTTACACACACACACACACACACACACACACACACACACACATTCAAAGCATTTGTTTATTTCTACTCTATTAAAAGTGCAGGAGCCCAGTTTCCCCTTTCCCCTGGCCAACCAAGTACAGTATGCTTATTCAAAGCATTACAGACATTAACAAAAGAAAGTGGTAATGCTAACATGCACAAAACAGAACTGTCACAGGATCAGGTACACATTTGTTTCCTTGATGAGCTCCAATCAAATTACTTCTCATTAAAGAGCTAGGCTCTCTTCCTGCCATACACTGCATGCATCTTGGTGTACTGTACCCACAAACCTATTAACACAATCTCCAGCATGTCTGCTCAAAAGTAAAGTCCTGCTGAGTTCAATGGTGCTTACTCTCAGGTAAGTGGGTATAGGATTGCAGGCTATATTTGCCCACAGTTATGCAGAGGGCCCAAGTTCCTCCTCTGCCCAGGTTCAAACTGCAGATCAAAAGCTTTTTGCAAGTCTCAGAAACTTCGTCTGTAATCGGGAGGTAAATTATGCAGGAGCATTGATGTTGTTCAGTTCAGGATGACTGCCAGTTCTGCAAAGTGTCCTTTATTTGCCTTGCCTTTCCTTTCCTGGATTAGTTCCTAGCCCAATCTTAATCATGCCCTGGACCAAACTGTAGTTCCAAAACCTTGCTGCCAGACCACCAGAGCTAACCCATTCAAGCCTGCTGCCAGTAGATTCTCGTCTCCCAATAATTTATACATATGTATGATTACAAACAGATGCAGCCAGTTTTCCCACTCTCCATAACTTATGGGCTCCTGGATTGTAGGAGCCTAATTTCCCTGCTCTAAGGTTTGCATAGGGAATAACTGGAGGACTTTTAAAAAAGTCTATAAAGGCCTTCCTTCCCTATAGTTTCACACTACACTTGGTCCTGTCTTTTTGGCTGTGGGCTATATTTCTCCTTGCTTCACCTCTTGCAGTTTCCTTTCCCTGTGGCTTTTCTAATTCATGGGTCTGTTTCCTCCACCTTTTCGTTTCACCACTGCTGACAGGCTTTTGGATAGACAAGTCCTCTTGAGCCTCAGTCCCTGGCTGCAATACTCCACAGTTCAAGCTTGCCGGCCACTCACTGACTACATGGGTGGGGGCATGAAGCGGGTCTCCACAGTTGGTCCTGAGAGTGAACTTCAACACCTTTTAGCTGCTGTTCAAACATGACACTAATCCCATGACATTCCATTTCAATTCTCCCCTTCAAGGTTGCTGTGATTTCTTCTGCCAGTCATTGTTGCAATGCTC